GCTGGTTTTCAAATTAAAACTTACAAGTGGAAAAAAATTTAAGTATTAACCAGGGGGCAATAATGTAGAAAAAAATGGGGGAAAATGATAGAGTATAAATGAATAAAAAAAGGCAATGGACTTTATGCCCTGGGGAATTGGGGGCAAAAAAAATTAAGCTAAACTAAACTTAAAAAAATTAATTAAATATCAAATCAGTTTTTGTATGGAACGGAAACATGAAAACCACTAGGGTTTCTAATAAGCACAACATTCTTTAAGGTGGCTGCACATAACAGGGGGAAAGGAAAAATAACAAAATGTGAAATTTGATGAGAACTAAACAATTCCCAGGGGGACCAAGAGGTGAAGAAAAAAAAGCTGGGGTGGATGGACACACTTGAAAAACGAATTTTATTTAACTAGAAGTTTTTGAATGAAAACCCACATTGGCAGAAAAAAGGAAGAGAACACACAAAACACACACAAAACATACACACAGGGAAAAGGAGTTGAGACTAAAATTTTAAAAAAGAGGAAGGACATAGAAGAGTGCATGTTAGCGAAGGACAAACAATTTGGCGTGAGTTTTTTAAAGGGGCCCTTGCCCCACTGGGAGTTAGAGAACCCAGAAGAAAAACCCTTTTCCTGTTTTACCTGTCAATTTTGTTTTAAGGGTTTGTCAAGGTTTAAGCATGTATTTTTTTAAAGGTAAGAACCAACAAGTAAATACGGAACCCATTAACCGTACAGCCATTAAAGGTTCCCACAAAAGGTTAAAACGCAGAAATAGTGGTCCAGTAAGGTGGATAGACCCCAGCTAAAAATTAAACTAAGCATCAAATGTTTACACTTTTGCCTCTGATATGGGGGGGAAAAGACCGCCCAGGGGTTTGGGTCAAGCTAGATTGACCGCTCCGCCAATGTCACAGTCGCAAGGGCTACATCCGTACTGGTTGTCTGCACTGAGACCATAAAACCCGGGCTAGAAAGGGGGGAGAGAGAGAAACACATTTACAAGTCTAAACCCAAATTTGGGGGGCGGCCCCTATTAAAAACTTCCCTCCCGGGCGGAGTTCTTTCCGCCCAATTCAGCTGTCGAACCCATGGCTTGTTTTATGTTGTGGGACTGTCATGTATTCCTTATTTTCAACTTTACCGTTCTTTTTTTTGTTTGTCCTGCTTTTTTGGGTTTTTTTCCCACTTTTTGGGGGGCCACTTCCCCGGACGGTTTAATTTTAAAAACGGTTTTTTTTGGTATTTCTACGTTCTTTGCAGGGGGTCATTTTTGGGGGGTGGCGAGGGGGGGGGGGAAAAAGGGGGGGGGGAAAGCCCACGTCTTATGATATTGAACTGAAACTTGACTCGGGGGGTTTTGTCCAGCAACTCCTGACTCTGTTTGCAACTTGTAGCTTGGATAGATCGATTTAAAGCGCTTAATGCAAATGTTCATTTTGTCTGAATGAATTTACTATTTTATAAAAATAATAGTGACATTTCATAAATTGAAGTATACAACACTTCCTGCTTCTATCTTTATTATTCGCCCCCCCCCCCCCCCCCCCCAAATATGTACCGTATTTTTCAATCCAGCCCCAATATGGGATGCAGTTTCTTTGTGTTTCAAAGCTCCCCGACTGTCCTAGGGCCCTAATATAACCCAACAAATAAACGGGGCTTCTGGGACTTGTTCCTTGGTGATTCTAATCCCAGTGGGCGCATTTTATGTCCCCGGGTGTTTATCGTTCGCCTCTCTGTCCTTGTTAGATTGAACTTTACTCTCTCATCTGTAGCATTTCTTTCAAAGTTTTGATAATAAAAGCGTAAGCAATACATTACACGTGTGGGTTTCAGGACCCCATTGTAGGGACAACAAACATCGACCCACTACCTGCACAAAAGCATGTCGTAAGTGTCAAATAATTGGGAGCTTTCTTTGAAGTCGAAAAACATCTGCCTGAGAGACAAGGAACCAGCAGTCTGCATGCACATGAGTCAGACCTGTGAAACGGATGTGCATGAAACACTTTGTTCTGGAACAGGACTATAGTCTAGAAATGAACGAACAACCAGAACTTTGCGACAGGGTTTACAGCCGGTGAACGCGAAGAAGAAGAAGATTACACATTATGATCCTTGCATATTTATATCAGTATACCGTATTTTTTAGTCAGACGCACACTTCAGAACTTAACATCCACACATAATGAGGCACAAATAATGAATCCTTTCAAGTTAAATACACAAATTATATACACATCCACTGTCTCGATGTAAAGGCCACCACGAGAGTCCTTGACTAATCAAGTGTTTATTACAAACACACACAAACACACACACACACACACATATATATATATATATATATATATAAAGTCATATCTAAACTGACAGGGGACAAAGGATTACGAACGATCATCGAAGAATTATATTTACTTACATAGCAAGTGTCACAGCTTCGATTTGTGACGTAACGTTTGCAGTTGCACAAGCCTGTCATGACGTCACATCCGGTGCCTGGAAGTGTTCCCGCCGTGTTGCAGACACAAGCTGTAGAAGGAACATCGGGGTCATATCAGAGATCACGTGGAACATCGGCAGTTATAGACACGGTTAACACAATCTCATCTTGGTCCTCGGTTACCTTGCGGTGTCGAGGTGAAGTATAATTTACAGGGAAAAGCCTATTTCTGTGCTTTCGTAAATTGTGATTCCTTCCGCATGGCCAGCCTCTTCTTCGCTTCTCACCTGGCCTGGACATCATTGTAGCAGTTGTATATTGTCTGCTGACATCTGCCTTGTTTGGCCAAACCATTTCACCTGTTTTCTAATGAAATCCAGAGCTGCTGCTACTCTCATTTACCTTCGGATTTAATCTTTTGTCATCTTATCTCTTCTTGTCGTTTTGAGAGCCCTTCGTACGAATCTCATTTCAGTTGTTGTAATTTTCTTTTATATTTTTCTGTCGCTGTCCGCGTCTGGTATTGATAACACTTGGTGGCAAGAAGATTTTGTCATAGAGACATGTTTGTTTCTTTGTATTGGCGCTATTTGCCCAAATGAGTTGGTTTGCTTTGGTACATTCGTCATCAATCTCATCTTTTTGCGAAAATAATGATCAGGACAATACAGTGAAACAGTATATGAATTTTTAAAGCAGTTAGAACAATGCAGTCAAGAAATCTATATGAAAAGTAGAAAACTAATTACTTCCACGAAGAAAAGAGACTGTAAAATAGCTGATATTCTGAAAAAGAAAAAAGGTAAATAAATAAAAAGGTTGAGAACTGGAATACGTATAGAGCATTAATTGTTTCATAGGAATGTAACAACAACATGATTTTGTTTCTTAAACTGTTCGAACTAAAATAGATAGCAAGCTTGAAGCATTTCGCAGATCGGATGTCTGTAAGATCTTGGGTTGCAAGGTAACCACTGGGTTCCGATGCCCCATTCTGGGGCAGGGGGTTGGGGGTAAACATACTGTGCCTTGACAAAGACGACTGAATAGGGTTTGCTGAACTTTGATGATTTGAGCCAAAACTAGCTGATATCGTAGCCCAGCTGTAAATCACAGTAAAACTTGGCATGTCCTAATTTAAAGGCGTAAAATAAGAAGAAAGAAGAAGCATAAGAAGAAGGAGAAGGAGAAAGAGAAAGAGGAAGAGGAGAAGAGGAAGAAGAAGAAGAAGAAAAATAAGAAGAAGAAGCAGTAATGGTTGTAGTAATAGTTGTTGTAATAGTAAAAGTGAAGGTAGTAGTAGTAGTACTAGAAGTAGTACTAGTGATGGTAGTGGTCGTGGTAGTATTGATAGTAGTGATAGTAGTGCTAATAGTGTTGGTAGTAGTGGTAGTGGTGGTAGTGGTGGTGGTAGTGGTGGTGGTGATGGTTGTGGTAGTGGTGGTGGTGGTGGTAGTAGTAGCAGCAGCAGTAGAAGTAGTAGTAGTAGCAGCAGGAGCAGTAGTAGTAGTGGTAGTGGTGGTGGTGGTAGTAGCAGTAATAGAAATGTATAGGGGAAAAAAGTGAATACTTACGTTGGCAGCCAAGAGGGTTCTCAGCCTGCAGGTTCCAGTAGTTCTCCAGGCACCGGTCGCAGCGGGATCCAGTAACCAAGGGTTTACAGATACACCTTCCTGCCTGGGTCCTGGTAACGTCGTCAGTGATTTGTTCACACTCGCCCTGGTTTCGCGACCCCAGTGGATCGCAGTCACATGCTGGACAACAAAATTGTTGAATTTAACTCTCTATCTGACAATTGGCGACCGAGTCACTTATCCGTCCGCGGATGGGTGAATCGGACGCCGGCCGGTGGTTATAGAGGGAGCAGGAGCGAATCAGCACTACAGGAGACCTTTTAAGGGCGCTTGGTGGGTAGGATTTTTCAGGGCTAATAATTTATTGTCTAATAATTTAGCCATGTATTTTCCGCAATTACACAATACTATAAATATAACCAGAGACTATTAGTAATCCTGGTCAACATTTTTTTTTTCATAAATGGAATGGAACGGAATTTTTATCTGCCTCAAGCCAAAATCAACAACAACAACAACAACAACAACAACAACAACAACAACAACAACAACAACAACAACAACAACAAACTCTCATAGTGCATGCCATGTGGCGTAGGTAGTCACAAATATCTACGGCACAGTTTGTACATACTGACTTTTGTTTGCTAAATGCTCATATTAGGCTGCATTTTTTTTTTCTGTGAGAACAGTGCCAATACTGGGCGGGTCGTTTTAATTACTGGACCTACAGAGGCAATGTGTGCCTAGCGCAGCTGAAGCATTGATCAGTACTGACAAACGTTCAGCTGCTCCCTACTTCTAACAGTCTGCTTGCCATGACTTCATGTGCAGCTAATCAGAGGGCTAAGCGGGTATCATCCTAAATAGAACTAAAAAGGCGGAAAGTAGAGGTTACAACTTTTATTTGTGCCACATGCAACATCCCTCACACACACGCGCGCGCTCACGTACGTATGCAGGCGCGCGCCAGCGAACACACACACACACACACAGACACTAATTCCTTTATTAAATTCCCCTAGTCACTGACACAGTGAGCATTGCTTTAGTAGCATGCCTGAAATATGGGATTTGTACACTACTGCAGTTATCTGTGGCTGAGGTGCTGCGAACGCAGTTTGTAATTTCGTAATCCCTGATTCGATTTCACGTGCTAGGAATTCGACAGCAGGTCACTCTGTGTTAATCTCGACAGTGGCATGAGGTGACGACCATCAATCGAAAACTACTTAACGTAGAATTGCCTACTTATAATCATAAACAGCTCAGAAATAAAAATGTTAGGGTTGAATAGCTAGAAGTTCTTACGCTGACAGATCTCTGGGTCTCTAATGTCCTTCCTCGGGTCCTGGAAGAAGAAAGGATTACACTCCTGACAGTTGATGCCCCGGGTGTTGTGCATGCAGTTGTCACATACGCCTCCGCTCATGCCTCCCGAGGCTTGGAACCTGGCAGCATCGAAGTGGCACTCAGTGGCGTGGTCGTTACAGTTACATTCTGAATGTTGGACAAGTTACAGGTTATGTTTTTGAAAGTGGTTATTATTTCCGCTTTATAAAGTAGGTACTTGTTACTGTAATCCAACTGACCGTATAGGTACTTGTTACTGTAATCAAATTGACTGTATAGGTACTTGTTACTGTAATCAAATTGACTGTATCCTTGCTGTAGTCTATGAAAAACAGGTTAAATCTTACATTTCTCTAGAATGTTTTCTAATATTGAAAATTTAGGTCCTCGTTCCTCTGCTAGGTACTTGTTACTATAATCAAACTTAACTGACTGTTTAGGTACTTGTTACTATAATCAAACTTAGTGTATAGGTACTTGTTACTATATGTAAACTGACTGTTTAGGTGCTTGTTACTATATTCAAACTGACTGTTTAGGTACTTGTTACTATAATAAAACTGACTGTATAGGTACTTGTTACCATAATAAAACTGACTGTATAGGTACTTGGTACTTGTTACTTTAATCAAACTGACTGTATAGGTACTTGTTACTATAATCAAACTGACTGTATAGGTACTTGTTACTATAATCAAACTGTATAGGTACTTGTTACCACATTCAAACTGACTGTATAGGTACTTGTTACCATAATCAAACTGACCGCATAGGTACTTGGTACTTGTTACTATAATCAAACTGACTGTATAGGTACTTGTTACCATAATCAAACTGACCGCATAGGTACTTGGTACTTGTTACTATAATCAAACTGTATAGGTACTTGTTACCATATTCAAACTGACTGTATAGGTACTTGTTACCATAATCAAACTGACCGCATAGGTACTTGGTACTTGTTACTGTAAACAAACTGACTGTATAGGTACTTATTACTATGGTAAACTGACTGTACAGGTGCTTGATACTAATCAAACTCACTGTATAGGTATTTGTTACTTTAATCAAACTGAAGAAGAAGAAGAAGAAGAAGAAGAAGAAGAAGAAGAAGAAGAAAGAAGAAGAAGAAGAAGAAGAAGAAGAAGAAGAAGAAGAAGAAGAAGAAGAAGAAGAAGAAGAAGAAGAAGAAGAAGAAGAAGAAGAAGAAGAAGAAGAAGAGAAGAAGAAGAAGAAGAAGAAGAAGAAGAAGAAGAAGAAGAAGAAGAAGAAGAAGAAGAAGAAGAAGAAGAAGAAGAAGAAGGAAGAAGGAGGAGCAGGACGAGGATGAGAGGAGGAGGAAGAAGAAGAGGAAGAGAAGAAGAAGAAGAAGAAGAAGAAGAAGAAGAAGAAGAAGAAGAAGAAGAAGAAGAAGAAGAAGAAGAAGAAGAAGAAGAAGAAGAAGAAGAAGAAGAAGAAGAAGAAGAAGAAGAAGAAGAAGAAGAAGAAGAAGAAGAAGAAGAAGAAGAAGAAGAAAAATAATAATAAGAAGAGGAAGGAGGAAAAGAAGAAGAAGGAGGAGGAGAATAATAATAATAATAATAATAATAATAAGAAGAAGAAGAAGAAGAAGAAGAAGAAGAAGAAGAAAAAGAAGAAGAAGAAAAAGAAGAAGAAGAAGAAGAAGAAGAAGAAGAAGAAGAAGAAGAAGAAGAAGAAGAAGAAGAAGAAGAAGAAGAAGAAGAAGAAGAAGAAGAAGAAGAAGAAGAAGAAGAAGGAGGAGGAGGAGGAGGAGGAGAAGATCGAGAAAAAAAAAAGAAGAAAGAAAGAAAGAGAGAAAGAAAGAACGATAGAAATAAAAAAAGAAAGAAGGAAAGAAGAACAAGCAAATAAAGGAATGATGAGGATGAGAGGGGGTGTCGGAAGCGGAGAAAAAGGATAGAATAATGTTAGGAAAAGGAAAGAGAATTTGAAGGATAAACAAAAGGTGTAGTAAATCTTACTTTTACAGACGTTTGGTTTGTGTGACCTAGCTGGCCTCCAGGGATGGTCGTGGTAGAAGTCCTCACACTGCTCGCAGTTCAGACCCTTGGTGTTGTGTGTACATTCACACATTCCATGAACCTGGAGAGTAAATTCTATCTGAGTTTACCCGAGTGCAGCATTGCTGAAATTAATCTTTTCTACAGGCATCAGTGACATTTCCCGGCTGTGCTGCACTAGTCACTGAAATAGTGTTTCTTAGGGAGCCGTTGCAACCCTTTGAATGTCTTCTTCTTCACGTTCAACGGCCAGACTGCTGCGGAAAGTTTCGGTTGTATGTTATTGTCTACTTGTAGATTTTGATCTTGTTCCAGAACTTGAGTCTTGCGCGCACTTATGTTTTACAGATCTGGCTTATTTCTGTGCAGACTGTTGGTGATTCAATTATCAGGCAGATGCAATCCAACTGTAAAGAAAATACCAGTAAGTAGTCGACTTTTACAATTTACTTGTTGATGGGAAAAAAAAGGGGGGGGGGGGAGAGGGGTCAATTTCCGCCCTCCCCATCCAACTGGGGCCCCATAACCCACACAGGAAAACCCGTTATATAACAAGAGCCAATGATTCACACGTACTGATCCGCACTCATAAACGTTACGAAACAGTTGGGTAGCCTTTAGAAGACGCTTTAAGCCAAACCACAGATTTTTTTTGGTCAGTTTGTGGGTTCACTAGGCCCTTTGTAATTCAGTAGTTTGCTTTCGTCAGGCGGGCACACATACTACAAAAGGAGAGAGAGGGTGAAAGAGGGAGAGTGAGGAAGCGAGAGAGAGAGAGAGAGAGAGAAGAGAGAGAGAATGAGGGAGAGAGGTTGAGGAGTGAGGGGGAGAGAGTGAGGGGGAGATAGTGAGAGGGAGAAAGTGAGGGAATGAGAGGAAATGAGAGTGAGGGGGAGAAAGTGAGAGAGATGAACGGAGAGAACGAACGAGAGAGAGAGAGAGTAAGAGAGACAGAGAGAGAGAGAGAGAGAGAGAGAGAGAGAGAGAGAGAGAGAGAGAGAGAGAGAGAGAGAGAGAGAGAGAGAGAGAGAGAGACTAAACCATATGCGGCATCCCTGGACAACGAAGTGGATCCTCTTTCGACTTGATGATGATGATGATGATAATGATGTTGATTCGCAGTGTATTATGGTTGTTTCTCCTTGCCTTTCACATAAATAAAAATAAGCATACCAGGTCTTTATTTTGTCTGGCGGTACGCAAAACCGGCACCTTTGTTAAGGATCATTGTGGTGTAGGGCTACTGTAAAATAAACTGTGTTGTGAGTACCGACACCTTTTCTTTCTAAAAAGAAAAAATCCCAAGTATAAATAATAATTACAGCTAATAGCAATTATAGCAGCAACATGTGATAACAATTTTCCGGCTACCATATTTTTGGCAACTTCCTCGTTCCCGCCAAAACCGGGCACTGGCAGACATCTGGACGCGTGGCCGTAGCAGGAGCAGCTTCCGCGGACGGTGACGTCATACAGGGCGTAGTAATACTTCTCTTTGACCTCGGGCCGGTTGTCCAGGAGGGTATCACCTGGGATACAAACAAATTCGGGATTTTTTAAAAATTCACTACAAACACGTGGAATCCCAGAGTTTCCAGGAAAGTCTAATATAATAGGGGTGTTAGGTCTAGTAATGTTCATTTCAAACCGTAACACCCCTTTTATATGGGACTTTCCGGGAAGTACCTGGATTCCCTGTCTTTTGGGTGAATTGAAAAAGAACAGAACCAACTCCATGAATGGGATGAATAAATAAGCAGATCCAGTCAAAGTGTGGATACACAAACAAATCCACTCATTGGATGAATAAACAAGTAGATGCAGTCACGAGATGAATAAACAAACAGATCCAGTCATGGGATGAATAGATAGATCCATTCAGGGGACAGATACACAAGCAGATCCATTCATAGGACGGATACACAAGCAGATCCAGTCACGGAAGGAATGAAGAAACAGATCCAGTCATGGAATGGATACACAAGTCATGGGAGGGATGAACAGATTCAGTCAAAGAACGGATACACAAGCAGATCCAGTCATGGGAGGAATGAACAGATTCAGTCACCAGAGGGATAAACAAAGAGATCCTGTCAAGGACGGATACACAAAGAGATCCGGCCATGGGAGGGATGAACAAACAGATCCAGTCATGGAAGGGATAAACAAAGAGATCCAGTCAATGAACGGATACACAAACAGATCCAGTCATGGGAGGGATGAACAAACAGATCCAGTCATGGGAGGGATGAACAAACAGATCCAGTCATGGGAGGGATGAACAAACAGATCCAGTCATGGGAGGGATGAACAAACAGATCCAGTCATGGGAGGGATGAACAAACAGATCCAGTCATGGGAGGGATGAACAAACAGATCCAGTCATGGGAGGGATACACAAGCAGATCCAGTCATGGGAGGGATGAACAAACAGATCCATTCAAGGAACGGATACACAAACAGATCCAGTCATGGGAGGGATGAACAAACAGATCCAGTCAAGGAACGGATACACAAACAGATCCAGTCATGGGAGGGATGAACAAACAGATCCATTCAAGGAACGGTTACACAAACAGATCCAGTCATGGGAGGGATGAACAAACAGATCCAGTCAAGGAACGGATACACAAACAGATCCAGTCATGTTAGGGCTGAACAAACAGATCCAGTGATGGAAGGGATGAACAAAGAGATCCAGTCATGAGAGGGGTGAACAAACAGATCCAGTCACCGGAGGGATGAACAAAGAGATCCAGTCAAGGAACGGATACACAAACAGATCCAGTCATGGGAGGGATAAACAAACAGATCCAGTCAAAGAACGGATACACAAGCAGATCCAGTCATGGGAGGGATGAACAAACAGATTCAGTCAATCGTAAAATGCATACACAGGTCAATTTAGTCAAAGGATGGATAAACAGACATGAAATCATGCCCTAGATAAGCAGATCCAGTCAGTAATGGGATGGATAAATTATTATGTCAAGGTAGTTTTTAGTGGATAAATGGGCAGACTGAGTATCGGGATGGCCAAACAGAAGCAGTTATCGGTCACCCTGACATTTAGCTCTTTACATGCAACGAATTACTTCTTTTGAACATACCTATCATCATCAAGCGTCGTACCTTCTATGAGGTTTGTCAGTCTCTTGATATTATCTCCTCTCTTTCCTCGTGTAAGATTGTCTTCCTCTTGCTTGCCTACTCTTAATTGTTTTTGTCTCTTTATATGTACCATGTATTCCAGACATCTTCCCTTAAAACCACTCAGCAATGTATTCTTCAAACACCGTTTTTGTAGTATTTCGTTGTTTTGTCCACATTGCTAACCGATGTTTTTCTCACGGTTCTATTCTCAAATTCATTGAAAGAAAAATACATAAACATTGAGTGCATGATGTGATCAACACCAAGTTGGCCACTTTCACTTTCCTGGACATTTTCTTGTACTTAGTTTAGTTCTGTGTCAGTTGATGTGGCTAAAGTCCGCCAAGATCCAGATGGGAACAGAACACATCATTGCAGACAGGCACGTTTCTAGCTACTGCGTTACTTTGCCTCCAGCACAGGTCAGCAACATATATCATACAGCAATATACAACAAACACCACACAGCACAATTCATCTACTGCAAAATGCAACCTTATACGGGAGCACATAGCACCATGCAGTAATATACAGCACCATACAGAATACTATACTGTATCATACAGAGCCATACAGAACAATACAGTATCATACTGAACCACAGAGAACAATACAACACCATACAGTATCACACAGAACTATACAACACCATATAACACCACTGAGAAACGTACAACACCATAAAACACCACTGAGAAACGTACAACACCATAAAATCGCACAGAACCATTCAGAACCACACATCACTGTACAACACTGTACAACACCACACAGAACAATACAGTACTATGTAATATCATACAGAACCTTACAACACCATACAGCATCATACAACACCATAGAACACCAAACAGTATTATACAGCACCTCACAGTATCATACTGTATCATACATAACCATACAGAACCATACAGCACTTTACAGCATCATACAGTATCACACAGAATCATATAACACCTTACATTACCATATATTGTGCAGAGTATGTACAACCCCTAATGATTGTTTGTTGCGAGTTGCAGGATTTGTGTTGTTACATGCTGTTTTACAAAATAAACCAAAAATGCAGTCACAGACTCAGTGAACTGAGTCATGCCAGTAAAATGTAACAATTTGACAAACAGAGACAGGTAGGCTTAAGCGTCATAATACAGGGCGTAGTAATACTTCTCTTTGACCTCGGGCCGGTTGTCCAGGAGGGTATCACCTGGGATATAAACAAATTCAGGATTTTTTAAAAATTCACTTCAAACACGTGGAATCCCAGAGTTCCCAGGAAAGTCTAATATAATAGGGGTGTTAGGTCTAGTAATGTTCATTTCAAACCGTAACACCCCTATTATATGGGACTTTCCGGGAAGTACCTAGATTCCCTGTCTTTTGGGTGAATTAAAAAAGAACAGAACCAACTCCATGAATGGGATGAATAAATAAGCAGATCCAGTCAAAGTGTGGATACACAAACAAATCCACTCATTGGATGAATAAACAAGTAGATGCAGTCACGAGATGAATAAACAAACAGATCGAGTCATGGGATGAATAGACAGATCCAGTCAGGGGACGGATACACAAGCAGATCCAGTCATGGGAGGGATGAAGAAACAGATCCAGTCATGGGAGGGATGAAGAAACAGATCCAGTCATGGAACGGATACACAAGCAGATCCAGTCATGGGAGGGATGAACAAACAGATCCAGTCATGGAACGGATACACAAGCAGATCCAGTCATGGGAGGGACGAAGAAACAGATCCAGTCATGGAACGGATACACAAACAGATCCAGTCATGGGAGGGATGAACAAACAGATCCAGTCATGGGAGGGATGAACAAACAGATCCAGTCATGGGATAGATGAACAAACAGATCCAGTCATGGGAGGGATGAACAAAGAGATCCAGTCACCGGAGGGTGAAACAAACAGATCCAGTCACCGGAGGGATGAACAAACAGATCCAGTCACCGGAGGGATGAACAAAGAGATCCAGTAATGGGAGGGATGAACAAACAGATCCAGTCACCGGAGGGATGAACAAACAGATCCAGTCACCGGAGGGATTAACAAACAGATCCAGTCACCGGAGGGATGAACAAAGAGATCCAGTCATGGGAGGGATGAACAAACAGATCCAGTCATGTGAGGGATGAACAAACAGATCCAGTCACCGGAGGGATGAACAAACAGATCCAGTCACCGGAGGGATGAACAAAGAGATCCAGTCACCGGAGGGATGAACAAAGAGATCCAGTCATGGGAGGGATGAACAAACAGATCCAGTCATGGGAGGGATGAACAAACAGATCCAGTCATGTGAGGGATGAACAAAGAGATCCAGTCAAGGAACGGATACACAAACAGATCCAGTCATGTGAGGGATGAACAAACAGATCCAGTCAAGGAACGGATACACAAACAGATCCAGTCATGGGAGGGATGAACAAACAGATCCAGTCAAAGAACGGATACACAAGCAGATCCAGTCATGGGAGGGATGAAAAAACAGATTCAGTCAATCGTAAAATGCATAAACAGGTCAATTTAGTCACAGGATGGATAAACAGACATGAAATCATGCCCTAGATAAGCAGATCCAGTCAGTAATGGGATGAATAAATTATTATGTCAAGGTAGTTTTTAGTGGATAAATGGGCAGACTGAGTATCGGGATGGCCAAACAGAAGCAGTTATCGGTCACCCTGACATTTAGCTCTTTACATGCAACGAATTACTTCTTTTGAACATACCTATCATCATCAAGCGTCGTACCTTCTATGAAGTTTGTCAGTCTCTTGATATCATCTCCTCTCTTTCCTCGTGTAAGATTGTCTTCCTCTTGCTTGCCTACTCTTAATTGTTTTTGTCTCTTTATGTGTACCATGTATATCAGACATCTTCCCCTAAAACCACACAGCAATGTATTCTTCAAACACCGTTTTTGTAGTATTTCGTTGTTTTGTCCACATTGCTAACCGATGTGTTTCTCACGGTTTTATTCTCAAATTCATTGAAAGAAAAACACATAAACATTGAGTGCATGATGTGATCATCACCAAGTTGGCCACTTTCACTTTCCTGGACATTTTCTTGTACTTAGTTTAGTTCTGTGACAGTTGATGTGGCTAAAGTCCGCCAAGATCCAGATGGGAACAGAACACACCATTGCAGACAGGCACGTTTCTAGCTACTGCGTTACTTTGCCTCCAGCACAGGTCAGCAACATATATCATACAGCAATATACAACAAACACCACACAACATCATTCATCTACTGCAAAATGCAACCTTATACGGGGAGCACATAGCACCATGCAGTAATATACAGCACCATACAGAATACTATACTGTATCATACAGAGCCATACAGAACAATAC